CTTCCTCGGTAATTTTTCCCAACCCAACAAAGAAGTTACTACTGAAGTGTCTGCACAAACTTCCAGCTCTTTATGATAAAACAGTTTAGAGGGCAACGCAAGCAATGTAGAATGTGATCTGTAATTCTTCAAAAGTTTTGTAACCTGCAAGGACGAAAACTCAAAATCCATGAAATGAAATTGCACGCATACCACATCCTGCAATTCTTGTCTCCTTCTCCCAGCACAGAGAAGATTATTGTCTGCTCTTTTCTCTAACCCCTTCACCTGCCCCAGTGACCCCATCCCATCACCTGATCTCCTCCACAGCTACTCTCATCCTCTCACTCTTTTCCTTAATCCCTCTCCCTCACATCTAACTCTTTTCCCCGACAATACAACCATACTTAAGTCTCTCCCATCTTAAAAAAACCAAACCAAACAAAAAACCTCTTAACCCCATTTGCCTCTCCAACTACCCATCTCCCTTTTGTCTCTAAGTTCACTGAATGTGCTATCTACAGTCACTGTCTGGAGTTCCTCTACTTCAGCTGTATCCTAGACCCTGTTCCAATCCAGCTTATGCCTCTTGTACACCACTGAAACCACTCCTCCTAAAACCTCTAATGGCCTCTTCCTAGCTAAAGCTCAGCACCAATACTACATCTTCATGCCCTTTGGTCCATCAGCCCTATTTGACATTATCTACCACACTCCTCTTCCTGAAATATTGTCTTCCCTGACTGTCTTCTTTTGGTCCTCCTCCTACCTCTAATTGTTCCTTCAGCATGTTCAAGAATCCTCTTTCTCCCTCCAACTTTCTGTGAAGGTTCCTGTGAAGGTCTCTGTCCTTGGTCCCCTTTTCTTCTTCTACAACTTATCTGAGTAATCTCATCCACAGACACAAATTCAGCTACCATCTCTAAGAAGACAACTCACCGATTTGTGTGTCTACTCCAGACCTGTCTTCTTCTAGCCATATTAAAAAGTCAACCTCTCTCTGTGAGATCTCCTTGTGGATGTGTAGCTGCCAGCCCAAGTTGAATATGGTTAAAAACAGCTTCTAATAATCCATCCCAAGCTCTCGCCACTACCTCCTCTCTCAATTACTGTAGACAACTTCACCATCCTCTCACTCACATCAATAACCGGTGTATGATTTTTTACTCTGCCCTTTCTCTAGGTCCTCATAGGTCGTATCTATATCTTACCTAAGATAAGGACTTGCCTATTCATCTACACAGCCAAAACTCTTGTCCAAACTCTCGCCACCTTAAATCTTGATTACTGCATTAAGGTTCTTTTCCATTAAGAATGCTGCTGCTAAGATCATTTTCCTAGACCATAGCTTTCTTTTGGGCCCGTCCCCTGGCTTCCCCTTCTCTACTGTATCAAAAATAAGTTTCTTGTCTTCACTTTCAAGGACCTTCACAGTCAAACCCCATCCTACCTATCATCTCTTATTCCTGATCAAGCTGATGCTCCTCCCGAATTGGTCCATGATGCCAGCTTCCATCACTCACTTGTTACATTTTCAAACAACCACCTTCATGCTTTCTCATGTGCTATCCCTTGGGCTTGGGGGGCTCTTCTCCTGTAAATATCTGCACAAACTACCCCATCGTTAACCTTTAAATCCCTCCTCAAAATGCTCCTTTGCTGCGATGCCTATAGAAAACTTGACTATGGTTAGGCTGCTGATGTGCAGAGATCACTGCCTATCACACCAACTCCTTGTACTCCCCCATCTATCTACATCTATCTGTTGTCTCATCTTATTCTTAGATTATAAGCTTATGAGGGCAGGGATCGGTTTGGTTTGTACTCCACTTTGATGAATGGGGTCCTGGTCTATGACTAAGGCTCGTAGGCACTATAGTAACAAACAACACTATTTCATCTCCATAGCACAGTAACAATTGTTGACTGCTCTAGTGCAGGCTCTACAAACTCATGGATCTCTCGTGCTTAAAGAAGAATATAGCTGATTTTTTTGTAGTAAAAGTTCTACGACGAGATTTATTGTAGCTTTTTAAAAAAAATAATAAAAACTGGTTTCATTAAATATATCCTTCTTCCCAAATGGTAAAATGTAACTCCCAGTAGACTCCATAATATTTAGACTCAGCCAAAATAGACCTTAATGAAAGGGAATCAGTTATGGGACTTTTAACTTTGCTATTGAAGCATGAAAAGGGGACAAGCTCATTTTACGTGCATACAATTATACAGCCAAAAGCCTAGAAAAAATGGTAAACCCAGTCTTCTTGCCCTTCCCTCTCATCTCTGTGGCCATTATTATCTGCTGTGACCCCGTCTGATCTCAGGATAAGTAAGGGTGGGCTAGTTCAACCTCTTGGATGGAATAACTGCTGCAGGAAGTGGTACTGGTGATTTATTAAATATTTTTCTTTCAAGTGAATCAGTACAACCAATGCTTCAGAATGACTTTAGTGGACACTGTGCTACTTTGGGCAAAACGTACCACAGGCTCAGATCACGTGTGTTACTTAAATATTCTTTGCCCTTTTTGAGAAGAAAGCTTGCACATCTGAGTGAATTCCAATCCCAGTAATCATAATCAGTTTAAGTTCTCCTGCTGTTTCCATTGAACAGACGATTAGAGTTTCTTTTTGTTTCAGCTCTGTGGTGAATGAAGTAGTTTTACAGCTTTTTGTTATACAGTAGACAATATTTACATTCACTTCTTTCCAGCAATTCTATAAAAGCTTATTTTCTGCTGCTGCAATATTATCTTTCCACCTTTTATGTGGAAAGATTCACAGGTTTATACCTTCTATGTTGAACAGTGGCCTAAAATTGGGAGGTGGGGCAATAGTGCCTGTGCAGCATCTTTATGGATAGATGAATGTCTGAACATTTTTCTTATGTTTGTTTACATTAATATTAAATACGGGGGAGGATTTCTGAGTTGCTTTTTCTACTAAAAAAGCAAGTCCTGTTTACCTCTGGAGTTTTATGGAGGACTGGGGAACTACTGGAGTTATGAAATCACAGGAGACTGAAGCCCTGTCTACATGAACACTTAGTTTGCAGCAAGATAGGATGTAGATCTGCCCTGCACTACCCTAATGCACAGTAAGTGTCCATGTGGACCCTGCTGCCATGCACTAACAGTTTGCTAGTGCAGGGGTTCTCAACCCTCTTTCGTTGAGCCCCCCTCAACATGCTTTAGGAGGAGGAGGAGCACCATGGCTGCCCGCTCCATGGCATTAGTCAGAGGAGCAGCCATCCTGTACTGCTCAGCTCTGGCTTCCCATTTTTGACCTGGGCAGGGGGGTGAGGCCTCGGGAGGGGGCATGGGGGGGAGAAAGAAGAGGTAGAGGGAGCGTTTGGAGCTTCCCCTGGGACTGCCCCACTCTGGTTAAGGCACTACAGTTTGGGGGTGGGTGGGGGAGAGACTCTCCAACTCTGCCCATCGGCTTGGGGCTTGTGCCCCACAGGGTGCCGGGGCTCAGGGCTCACAGATCCTCTGAAACCAACTTGTGGCCCTCAAGGGGGCCATGGACACCTGGTTGAGAACCACGTCCCTAGTGCACTTTAATCTACTCCCAGGAGTAGATCAAAGTGCACTAGCAGAAAAAATGTTTACTTACCTGTTCTGTAACTGTTGTTCTTTGAGATGCAGTTGTACACATGTATTCCACTCAATTATATGCGCAACCAGGATGCTGGAGGCAGAGAGTTTTCTGCAGCAGAACCCATCGAGGCAGTGCTCATACCCTACACATCCTCAGACCCTCTCCCCCAAGACTATGTAAGAATAGCACCACTCAGACCACCCTCAGATCCTTTGCATCTGAACCTGGAGAAACAGGACTCCGATGCAGAGTGGACAGAGGTTGGGTCGTGGAAGACATGTGCAACCACATCTTGAAAACAGTTATAATAAAGGTAAGTAACAGTTTTGTCTTCGAGTGGTTGCACATGTGTACTCCACTCAGGTGAGTGACAAGCAGTACCATTAGGAGGCAGGAATCAGAGTCTATTTAAATAGCGACTATAACACCGATTTTCCAAAGTTTGTATCAGATCTTGCAACTGTAGTGATGGTGTAATGATGAATGAAGGTATGCACAGAGGACCAAATAGCTGCCCTACAAACATCCAGTATGGGTATGCCCTTTAGAAAAGCTAGAGATAGCCTGAGATCTCATTAATGGGCTGACAGTCTCTGTGAAGGAGGGGTATTCACTATCTCATAAGCTGTCATGATACAGGAAGTAATCTGTCAGGAAAATGTTTGTGCTGAAACTGCTTGCTGTCTTACTCTGTCAGCACACAAAACAAAGAGCTGAGGAGACAGCCTAAAAGGCTCAGTCCTCTTCAGACAGAAGGCTAATACTGGCTTTACATATAAAGTATGCAGATGAGCCTCATCCCTATTTGAGAGCGGCTTTCAAGAAAAAACACAGGTAAATATATTAAAAATTTTGGATGTGCTCTCAAAGCTACTTGGATCTTTGATAAACAGCATATATAGAGGTCCTGCTACGAGACCCTGATGCTCACCCACTCTTCTGGCTGACATAATAGGAATGAGGCAGGATGTCTTCTGATATCAAAAGACAAAAGAACAGGTGGCCATAGGCTCAAATGGAGGCCCATTAAAGAAGCTATAGTCTGGGGGCCCAAATGGAAAATCCTGCCTAAATCTGAAATTTGTAGCATCCATCTGCAGAAATGGTTAACACATTTTTATGAAGGGATTAATTCCCTGGAGTTATTTGCTTGTGTGTGTGTTGTATTATGTAGTGGTAATTGAGAATTATGGGTGCTTTTGTAAATCATCTCAAATTGCCTTCACGCATTTCCTGAAAAAGTCCAAGTAATGACTCTTCTTTAATGCGTGTATAATTATACATTTATTTCATCCCATAGTGATTTCATTATAGCAAATTTACTTTAAATATGTTCTCTGCTTGTTGTTTTGTCTATATGTGTAATTTATGATTCGCTTACATAATGTAATGTGATTATTTCATCTGCTATTCCAACAGTAACATCTATTGGGTACTGTCCAGTGCTGCCAGCATCAGCTATTGAATGGGATACAGTTTTCACTGTAATGAAGAATGTCAACAAGATGTCTAGGACACTTGGCCAAGATGATGGTGTTTTGACATTTGATGAGGCTATATATTGTAAGGCTAAAGTGATTCAGTGGAGGTGCCCAGAAGAATTTCAGAAAAAACAATCTTGAGAATGGGTGGTTTCTACATAGCACAGACATTTCTGGCTATAACTGGAAAGAAGTACGAAGAGTGCTCTGGAAGACATCCTCATAGAATTTCAGTTGCATGGTAGCAACACAGCAAGCAGTCTACTTAAAGGCAGTTATACAACCGTGGAATGAAGGCCCACAAGCTTACAATGGAAGCTCTGTCCAGATTGCGGTGGTAGGCATTTTGTAAATGGATACAAGACAATGAGATTGACTGTGATGTAGACCTTACCAACAGCAAGCTCCAAGAATGTTAAATTCCGGTATCGAAAATGGTGCAACAAGTCTCACAGCAGACACTTGCCCAGCTCAGTGATGCCCTCAAGAATGTACTGGATGTAGTACACAGATTCTGCAATTTTGGAACAGCAACTTCCCAAACCTTTGCATTCTGATACGATTACATCAAAATGGTTAACATCTCAATGTGTTTCATTAGAGCAGAAAGTGAAAACAACTGGCACATACATCTTGCAGTGCTTTTAGAGATACTACTACTTTTCACTTTTGACTGTACCAGCTATGCCCGCTGGGTATCTGTGTACATCAGTGATACGAAGTTTCTGCCAGATTAAACCGCCCAAAGTTCATGATCAATCTGTGCAAGGAACTTATGCAGTGGCTCAGTCTACAAATAAATTCAGCAAAGTCTGGATAGACATGGCACTTGAACAAACAGTAAACTGTGATAATAAAGAAAAAAGGGGATATAGTGGGTTTCACTTTGAAACCAGGATCTTAGATGGTTCATCACTGCTCATGAGTGCTTAGCTATCACAACTTCCACAAAGATAACGTATTATATAGTAGACTCAGATGTGTCACAAGGAAAACACAAGGAGGCTGCACCACTTTGCATGCAATGTGATGAAGGAGATGTAAATAAGGGAGTTTGCACCATCACTGAATCCATGACAAACCCATTTGATTTGAATGTGAATTGAGAACATTCACCAACATTGCAAGTGGCATTGTTTGTACCCGCAAAGATTGCTACCAAGCTTGTTACTACAAATGATATAGGAATCAAAGCAATGAAACAGTACGTGGAAGAGATTAAATTCAAATACCACTGGTTTCTTTGAACCACTGCCTAAGCTCAACATCAAAACATTTGCATCTCTAAGCAAGAAGTTCAACCTGAAAGTTAGTAGTGATAAGACAGCGACTATCAATGCAGACAGTTGTTTAGCTGTCTTGTAGTAACTACACAAACAAGAGATACATGAGCATTCTACAGTTCAATATGTTCTAGCACATTTGGATGGTACCCTGAACAAAACTGCAAAGAGTAAGCTATTGCCTGAATTAGAAAGAGTGAGAGTCCATATCAACTGCCAGCATTCAACATGCCCACAACTTGGATAGCAAATGGCAAGTCTGTTATTCAAATGGTCAGGCCAGAAGGTGCAACTAGCTTTGCAGAACTTGCTGACTTGGGTTTCAGAATAGTACACCACCCTCTACAGAGTTATGAGAGCTGCAAAAGAACATATATTGTCTTTACTTATATCATGTCAAAGATTCAATTGAAAGTTTCTGGGCATGCACAGAGGCATCATCACAAAGCAATGAAGTAAAAATCCATGGTCCCAATGGAGAAAATTCATTGGAAACCCCAAGAATAAAGCACATCTGGTAAAATTTTTCTCAGAATCATGATGTGATATGGCAGAAACTGTACTTAGTTTAGATCAGAAAATGGTATTGCTGGTATATTAAAGGATGGCCTCATTGCTCACATGGTCACTTCAGATGGAGTTGTAGACTATGACAATCTATTCTCATTGGATGAATAAGTAGATATTTGGCTTCTATTTCATGTTGCACATGCTTCACAAGAATACCCTTCTGTAGTGGTGTGTTATTCAGACACTGACATTGCAGTTCTCTGTGTACATTTTATTCACAAGTTGGAAACAACTTCAGAGCTTTGGTTTCATACTGGTGTGAAAAAAACAACACCACATATTTATACCAGCCCACACCATAGCAGCTGAACTTGGCCAACAACAATACAGAATGTTGCCAGTAGTACGCACGCTGACTGGGTGTGATTCAACCTGCTGCTTGGCAAGGGTTGGCAAACTAAAGCCATGGAAGCTTGTCAGAAGAATCCACCCAAATTTAAAAGCCTTGCCAATTTTGGCATTACGGTGGTTACTCCTGCACAGCTGGCATCAGCAGAGCTTCCGATAGCTCTTCTCTATAACCCAAAAGCTAACTCTGTGGGTGCAAATAAAATTGCGATATAAGCTTTTCTGTCACAAACAGGCCCAGAAGGCAGCCTTCCCCCCAGTTTACAATAATCTTCTGCAACATACCAAGCACATAAATTAGCCTTACTGGGAACCATACCAAGGAGGCTCAGCCTGACATCCCTTCCCCAATTAGAAATGGCTGGCATCACAACAATGATGGACACATTTCTCCAACAATTGACTAATGACAGACATCTGTCCCTGATGCAGTCCAGGAGCTCATTACGTGTGTGGAGGGGGGAAGCCAAGTGTGAGCACAACTACTGTTACTCAAGACACAGTATGACAAGCATACAGACTTGACAGAATCCTGATGGTGAGGTTGCTGCCTTGGATTTGAGGGGTGTGTGTACCCCAGAATGTGATCAAACTCATTGCAACCATATTATGCGCGTTCACACACCATGAATTAATAAAATAGAACACCACATAATAAAGGGTTAATTTGAAAGCAGGCTTTTAGAGGCAAGGTCAAAACTAGCTGGCAGTTTCTGCTAATCATAATGGGAGGAGGGGAAAGAAAAGTCAACAACTGAGAAAAAGAAATTAAGTGGATGGAAAACCCTGAATTTGGGTGACTGATACAGAAGTATTATTATGATTAAGATGGTTAGGAATGTGTTGATAAGTAGTTTACTGAAAGTTAGGAAAAGTAATGATTTTAATAGGGGTCACTAAGATGTATAAAGAAAAGGAGTACTTGTGGCACCTTAGAGACTAAACAAATTTATTTGAGCATAAACTTTCGTGAGCTACAGCTCACTTCATCGGATGCATTCAGTGGAAAATGAAAATTCCACTGAATGCATCGATGAAGTGATCTGTAGCTCATGAAAGCTTATGCTCAAATAAATTTATTAGTCTCTAAGGTGCCACAAGTACTCCTTTTCTTTTTGCGAATACAGACTAACACGGCTGCTACTCTTTAAGATGTATAAGTTAGTTATAAAAGATGAGCTAAGACAGTGTATTCTGGAGCAGTCCACCTGAAGCCACCTTGAGAGATGTTTTTCCTGATGGCTTTTCTCCCTGGCAGGTGAACAACTGGCCACTGCAAACATGCTGTTAATTACTCAATACTGTTCCAATCTAATAAACTCCAGTTTTAGATAGAGCACGCTTACTTACATTAATCTTTCATCATATGGAATTGCTGTGTTCCCACTGATTTATTCCTGACACTGCCTGGAGTGAAACGGTGAAGTTACCCCTGCTGTTGCAGGTGGACTGGACTTAGCACTCTAGGTGGAGTCGCCAGAGCCAACAATGGCTCTAGGGAGGACGAGTGGCCCAGCACGGGTCTCATTGCATTAGTCACTCCCCACTTAATCATAGAATCATAGAATATCAGGGTTGGAAGGGACCTCAGGAGGTCATCTAGTCCAACCCCCTGCTCAAAAGCAGGACCCATCCCCAATTAAATCATCCCAGCCAGGGCTTTGTCAAGCCTGACCTTAAAAACTTCTAAGGAAGGAGATTCCACCACCTCCCTAGGCAACGCATTCCAGTGTTTCACCACCCTCCTAGTGAAAAAGTTTTTCCTAATATCCAACCTAAACCTCCCCCACTGCAACTTGAGACCATTACTCCTTGTCCTGTCCTTGTCCTTGTCTGGGACTCACTTGTCCCTCTTTGGAACTGGAGAGCGCCCTCTCTTGGTGCGCGGTTTCTAATGCTTCTTCCTCGGCACCAGGGATGGAGAATGGTGCCGGTGGAGTCCTTTGCAGGGAAGCTGAAGTGCTCAGTGCTGATTTGGATCAGCTTGGCGCCTAGGCCAGTCTGAGGGCTGCCTCCATACAAATGTGTCTATATTTCTGAATATGTGGGCTGAAGCTCCTGAAGATCTGGCACTTCTCCTTAATGTGAGTTTCCCTGAGGCACTTTAGACTGCTAGAATGCGGGTCACTCTCTAGCATGGGCTTGCGGCAGGAGGCACACGGCTTGAAGCTCGGGGACTGGGGCATGACCAGGCCCTGGTATGAAAATCCGTCAACAACAGGGACCACTATTCACCCTATATACACTAATACTTACTAAGAACTATATAAACTAACTGCAAAAACTATTATAAAGTCCAAGGGAAAGAAGTCTTGCAAGAGCAAGAGGGATCATTCCAAGTAACCGTCACAGGCAGTAAGGGTGTGGAGTTGGCGGCACCCCTTATACCGACGCATCTGCATGTGACTCCAGGGGCAACTAGAGCCAGTCCTACGGATACCCCTAAGGGAAAAATCTTCAGCAACCGCGCACGTGGCACGCATGCACCCCGAGCACGGAATGGATACGAGCAAGAACTCAAAGAAGAAAAAGTGCATCTAGTAGACTGCTCTCTACTATTAAGCAATATTTCCTGAACTGCCACTGAGCAGTCTCTCTGTTTGATCTAACTACTCAACAGTCACACCATGAGGTACAGACTGTTTGGATCTGGGTGCAATGTAGGTCTAGGATGCTGGTACAGTAGGCCTGGAAGAATAGACAGAGATGACATGGAGTTTGAATTGAGAAACTGTGAAGATCAGAGATCCAGCACTGTCTTGACCAAGATAGCATTATGAGAATTATTGTCCAAGTAAAACAAGACCAGGCCAGGATAACCTGTGGGATAAGCAGAATGGGGGCAATGCATACATGAAGCTCAGTCCCCATGTTGAGAGAAAGGTTTGGGTTAGCAAACCTGTACTCTGGCTCACTCAGAATGGAACCGAACCGATGGCACTTCTTGTCTTTTGTTGTGAATAGGTCAAATGCTGAAATACCCCAGACCTGAAAGTTGGTTCGGAGCACACTATTCTTCAGGGACCACTTGTGATTTTGGGAAAGTCTCCTGGTGAGGTGATTGGCCAACTAATTCTGGGAACTTGGTAAGTGTGTGGAAATGGGAGCAACCCCTTCATTGATGCAAAAGTCCCGTAGATTTATCACCTCTAGACAAAGCTGATCAGATCATGCTGTCCCAGTCTGTTTAGGTAGTACACTGTGGCTGTATATTTGGTCAGCTTCTAGATCAACAAGCTCTTTACATGAGGCAGAAAAGCACAGCAAGCCCTCTGAATCGTGCAGAATTTGCGGACACAGATAGAGCAGGAGGCAATTCTCCATATTAACTCTTAGGTTTGTAACCCTTCTAGATAAGCACCCTGCCCTATCAGGAGGAAAGCATCAGTAACAATTGAAGGGGGCAAGAAAAGGGTACGCCCTTGCATGTGTTCTTCTGACCCATCCACCACTCTGGAGGCTATAGGACTGCAGGACAAACCCGTACCAGTGTTCTAAGGGATGTCTTTTCAGTTGATACACTGAGTTCAGCCACGCTCGAAGGATGCACAGGAGAAGCAAGGCATGTTGGGTCACACAAGTACATGTGGCAATATGGCCTAAAAGCCTTAGTCATCATTAGATTGTGACGGTGGGGTCTGACTTAAGAGATAAGTACAACTAGTGAATGGTCTGAGATTTCTCTAGAGAGAGAAAAGCCATCAAATTTGCAGAATGGAGTAGGGCCCCGTGACACTGGCAGATCAGGTGTCCTCTCATGCCAAGGTCCCTATGTTTCAATTGAACACTGACAAATACATAGCTGGAATCAGTCTGGCTCACTTATGTGTTAGCATTGGTAAAACAGGTATTAAGATTGTAAGCATGCATTTGGTATTCAGAGTTTATTGAATACTTGCAAGTAGCTATGTGAATTAATCTCATTTAGAACATCTATAGCCTATATTGTAAAGGTAATATTTGAGCAGTTGTATTGTGAGTTGGGAAATCACCAGACAGGAGAGACACATTAATTAGTGTGAAGAGCTGATCTTCAACAGAAGGTATCACACCCTTCCCCAAAGGAAAAGTCCATCGATACCAGATTGTGGGACGTTGCAACTGGAATTTCCGTATGTACTGTCAATAAGAGGACAAAAGACTTTTGTTGTTCTTCTCTCCTCCCTGTGACAATGAGTCATGCAAGCGGATTCCTCCCATCGGCTGAGTTTGCAGCTCAGACCACATGGCAGGAGGGGCTCAAAATCCCAAGAGAAGGAACTAGGTATCTCTATGCTGTTTGGACTTGGGGGGAGCATTGGCAGCAAGGTGTATCTAGGCATAGCAAGAGATCCCCAGCTGCTTAGCCTGAGTTAGCCCTAAAGCTCAAATAGAGCTTGCTGATTACAGAAGCCTATATTGCCTTTTAAAATTGAAGAGTAATTCATGCATGTGACTGTTTGCTTGCTTTAACCTTGTAATTTCCTTTTAATATTTCATGAATCTTTATATACTTTATTATAGAATTGGCTGTAAGTGTTGTCTTTGGTGTTAGATCTAAGGTGAAACTGACCTGTGGTAAGTGAGTAGTGCTTTGGGACTGTGAGTAATCTGAATAGAGTGGTGATTCTTGGTGTAAGGGCTGGGTGGCGAGATAGGTCAGAGTACCCAAGGGAATTGTCTGTGATTCCATGTTAGGGTCAGTATAATACTTGAGATGTTTCTACTTGATATTGGTTGGTGAAATTTAAGTTGGAACTCTTAGCCTATTTGGGGTTTGTGCCCTGGTTCCTAACAGTCTGCCCTGAGGTTGGTACTCATGTTCTTCTACCACGGCAGACAGTGTTACAGCCCCAATTAATTCAAATTTTCCACGTCAGGACTAATGTAGATGGTCTCCTGTTCAGCAAGAGTTCAGGTCTGATGTTCAGACCTGCCTTGTCCTAACCAATCATTCAGAAGGCATGAATTCTCTTTCTCCTCAAGTAGGTCACCACTACTGCCATGCACTTGGGTATACATGCAGGGCCTACAGCAGGTTAAAAGGGAAGTATTGTGTATTGACAGTGTTGGCCCACTATTACAAGTCTTAAAAACATTCTGTGACTTGGCAGTACTGCCACATGTATGTAAGCAGCCTGAAGATAAGATCAAAGGCAGCAAACCAGTTATTGTGGTCAAGGGAAAGAATGACTGACATTAGGGAACTATGTGAAATCTTACATGCCTAAAGAACTTGCTGAGATTTCAAGGTTCAGTATGTGTGTCAGACCTCCCCCTTTGCATGTGGAGAAAGTACTGAGAATAAAACCCCTTTCCCTGATGTTAAAGGGGAATTTCCTCTATGGCCCTTAGAGCTAACAGTCTGAATTTCTTGAAGGAGCACTGACTTGTGAGATGGGTCCCTGGAAAGCGATGGGATTGGTGAGAAAGCAAAGTGGACAGGAATTGGATAGAATAGCCTAGTGCATAGTGCTTAGGGCCCATTTGTCCATTGTTCTAGATTTCCAAGCATGAGGAAATGGGATAATCTGTCCCCAAACAGTGTGGGGGAAATGGCAGAAAGATCACTGAGTATTGCTGTCCTTGAAAGAGAAGTCATATGGGTTCCTTCCTAGTAACTGACTGAAGATGAGCTGGCTGTGTCGAGCTGGGAGTTGGTATGGTGGCTCTTTGTAATACTGATGTTAGTATTGACACCCACAGCAACATTACCAACAGCTTTTGAAGGCTGGGGCACAGACCACTAATGAATGAAGAGTAGCAGGAGAGTCTTTAAATGAATGTAAAGTTTCATCAGTTTTGTCTGAAAACAAAAATAGATGATCAAATGGGGAGGTCCTCTATAGCTTGCTGGATATCGGAAGCAATGCCCGAGTTCTGTAACCACGAGGCTCACCTCATTGTTATTGCAAAGGCTATCATTCTAGAAGAAGCTGCAGTCATTCCAGTC